TGACAGTTTTCAGTTTGGTGTAACGTCTACATGTAGATCACAAATGCTGGCCAATTAAAACCAATTTCCATTATGCTGTAACGATTAATAAATTTTGAATTCTGTATTCCAATAATTTAATAATGTCCAATGATGATAAAGAAATAAACAGCCCTAAAGAACAAAATAATTCTTCGAGACTATTAAAGGAAATTAAAGATGATGTGAATGAAATTATAGATCCCGTAATAAACGTAACTGATGCAATTTGTGATGTATTTAATCTTACATCAACTGTAGCAGTTCCGTTTTCGAGATTTTTACCAATAGTAGATGATGTAGTAAAAATATTTGAAGAAATTGCAAAATTATATCAATCAGCTGAGCATAATAGACGTATATGTGGTACTTTATTTGATAGAGTTATAGCAGCTGAAGCAGCAATTCGTACTTTGAAAATTCGTAGAGATGAACATAAAGAATTTTTTAATCAACAAAATTTTGTCATTATGCAAAAATTTCTAAGGAATATTGAAAATATTAAAAAATTTGTAATGTTTCTTTTATATATATATACTTTTTTTTTTGTTTGTAAGTTTATAAATTATATTATTTAATTAAAATAAAATAATAATAATAATAAAAATCAAATCAAAAAAAAAACTTTCAATCTAGATTAATGATGTCTCACAATTAAAAGGATTATCGAAATATATCCAAGCAAAATCAATTGAGACTACTTTTCATGAATTGACTGAAGAATTTGATAGATTTGTTTCTATTTTGAATTTAACCATCACCATTGATACCAGAGGTCGTGCTCAAAAAGATAAAGAAATCTTGAAACAAGATATTGAAGATCTTAATAAGGTAGTATTAATACCGTATTTATTTTAAAAAATCTTTTTATATAAGGTATATAAGGTGTATTTAATACAGTATTTATTATATTATATTAGTATTTAGAAGAGATTGGTGCAGGTCTTACCGATGTAAATAAAAATGTGTCAGATTCCGTTAATCAATTAAATTTATTAAAAGAAATGATGACTCAATTAATGACCGAAAAATAAAACCAAAATAATAATGCTCAAAGTCAACAAATAATTAATAGTTTATTCGAAGATACATCTATAAGGTTCTGTGAATTTGAAGAAACCACTGAGATTCGAGTTCCAAAGTCAGAAAATATATTCGATTAAAGGATCGTGAAGAAGTTGCTCTTAAACTAGTAGCCAATGAAAAAGATTCCGATAATGATAAAGAAAATATTCATAATCAAGTTATCATTCTTAAAAAACTTAAAGATTGTCAACAAATTCTTCAATTTTATGGTCTCACCTCTGATGGTGATAAAACGTATTTGGTAACTGAATGGGCTGAATTGAGAAATTTGAAAGAATATTATATGACTTAGAAAGAAATTAAGGATTGCTGTTGATATTGCTCGTGGATTGAATTTTTTAAGAGCCGTTGAGGTTGATTATATTTCTTATAACCATTATATATATTTTATACTTCAATTAAATAATGAATTACATAGCATTTATTTATAGATTATACATCGAGACATAAGAGCAGAAAACATTTTAATCACTCATCATGAAACCGCAAAGATTGCCAACTTTTATCTGAGCAGACACTTTTACGATGAAACAAAAAATCTTGAAGCAACCCAAGATACCGGTAAAATTTTTTTTAAAAAAATTTCAAATTCATATAATTAAAAAAATTGCCTTCTTTATTTTAGTTCGTTATGCTGCACCAGAGATTTTACGTAGGAGAGATTCGAAATACACCACAAAATGCGAAATATATAGGCAAGCATATATATAATTGGACTCGCTTACTTTTTTCGTTAATCTTATTGTTTTATTTGTTTTTTTTTTAGTTTCGGCGTTCTTTTGTGGGAATTGGCTGAAGAAAAAATTCCTTATGGACAATATTCAGATTTAGTCGAAATCAAAGAACTTGTAGTAAATAAAAAATATCGAGAAAAATTTTCTGTTTCCTCTGATTTACCTGAAGAATATAGAAATCTTGTAATTCAAGGTTGGAAATTGATAATTACTTTTCATAATAAAGGTCAATCTCGTTATATTGAAATGATCAGTTCCATTAATAAATTTTTTTTAAAAAAATTCACTATATCGAGAATTTCACTGCATCGAGATTTTATTTAGTTTCACTAATATGGACAGTTTACTATAACGAGAATGACTTGGATCTTTTATTATTATTAGAATTTACAATTTATTAAATTTGATCTTTTTAATTAATCAGCTGTTGATCTAGATCCAAATTTTCGTCCAACTTTAACACTAATGTTCACTACTCTTCAGAAACTACACAATACGATTTGTTTACCACCATTAACCACTCCTAACTTATATGATAACCCTATTACTCCTGACCAAGAAACTTTATTCGATCAAGATCCTGATAATGAGCTATTAACGCTTCCAGTTATTAATTTTGCTGAATTTAATTATATGACAATAGAAGAAGCTTCAAAAGTTCATAGAACTCCAAATATTCAAGAGAATAAAGAAAAACTAGAAATGGCATACAAATGCTTCGAGGCTTACACAAAACTTGGAGACACTAAGGCAAAGTATTACAAGGCTTATTATTTATTTCAAGGGTTAGTAAAAATTTCAGAATCACAAGAAGAAAGATATGAAATTGCAGCAAAATTATTTAAAGAAGTAGCAGATACGAATGAAGTCCCTGAATCACAATTAAGATATGGAATGTGTTTACATAACGGAATTGGGATAAAAAAGAATTTAATCGAAGCAACAAAATATTTTAGAAAAGCGGCCGATAATGGATTAGTAGTAGCTATGTTTAATGTTGGAAATTTATATTATTCTGGTAGGGCTGGTTATCAAGACAAAGACTTGGGTGAAAAATATATTAAATTGGCTGCTTGTAAAAAACATCAACCAGCTATTGAATTCTGTAAAGTTAATAATATTATGTTATAATATTTTAATATTTTTTATACAATATTGGAATATAGTTTATTATTGATTTAATAGTTTGTCCACTTTACAGCATATTTTTTAGAAAAAAACTCGTAAATATTAGAAATATTCTTGTCTTTATAAAACAATGTCTAAATAAACCTGATAACAGCTTTTGATTCTAAATTTAATATATAATATATCTAAGTTTTATATATTACAATATGTAGTTTAAAATAGTTTGTTTATAATAATAAAGTTATACAATATATATTGTTTTTATACATAAAACTAAAAATTGCTATGTTTTTCCTGGTTATATGTAAATCATAGATATTGGTTACACAAAGTTGATCTACACTATTTTATATGAATTCGGAAATAGTTATTCTCAATTTTGTCAAATCATTTTTCCCATATATATATATGCAGTATAATAATTGCATATATTTATAACTAGATTTTGACTATAAATAGTCCAGGTTATATAACTTTTTGTAACTTGTAGCATCTTTGAACATGGGATCTACAGCCAAAATTTCCTTGCAATTCCAGAAAAGAAAATTTTTATTCATTATTTTTGTATAATTTATGATAGAGAAGAATGAGAATATAGAAGTGAATGTAAATATGAATGTTAATAAAGAATACTAGTGGTATTCTATACTTTTGTCTTTTGGGTAGCAACAAAAAAAAGATAGTGAAATGAAAAACTTTGTATTCATTATATTATTAACACTCTATCTAGATTTGTAAATATGGTTTGATATTTTTTTCTTTATTTTTTTTCTAGATTTTTTACCAGACCGATGGATTGATAATCACTAATCATTAGAGTTCCGCAATTTGATTTGATTTGATTTGATTTGATCAAATATTTGATCTCAAATTAAATTCAAATCATAATTAAATTTGATTTGATCAAATTCAAATTTGGCTTGAGCTATTTAATCTGCAATGCAGATATCAGATATGAGACATGACCCTTGGTTGTTGTTTAATATAAATCAAATGAGTTAACTTATCCAAATTTATATATAAAATTTGGTAAAAAAAACACTTTTCTTTAATTTACTTAAGAAAGTAAATATAAAAAATAATTTTAAATATGAGACTTATATTCTTTAATATTTAATAATTCTTTAACAAAATTATAAAACTAAATACCAAGTAGTTTTAAAAGGATCTTAAGCTAAAGTTGTTCAATTCTTCTTTATATTCTTTAAGTCAAATAACTGACTTACTTAATACAATAATATGATTGGCTAAAGCAATCCTTTGAAAATTAAAGAAGGTTTTACTAAGTAAAGGTCTTTTCTGGTTTTAAGAAAACTTGTAGAGAAGATTTTTAGGATCTCAAAGTTACTATTACACAAAGAACAATCATTTATTAGATGATTGTCCTTTGTATAATAGTGACTTTGCAGTTCTCTATATTTGCACCTTTAATCCCAAGTATTTTGGGATCTACCAAGCTGATTTGGATATTTAACTACAGTCAACTCTCTTTAAACCAAACCTATATATACCAAACCCTGGTTATTCCAAACAAAAAGCTTAAGAACATTTTATTTATAAATAATTATACTGCATATATCGAACAACTATAATTAATTCTATAAACCGGATCTGAACATAATATAAACAATACATTTGATCGAATTATTAATTATAAGCCTTTTATATACTAGAATTTACTAAAGTAATATTATATGTTAATTACACTTTAACTAATGTAATACAGTGCAATTAATCTAGTTATTAAAGCTTGAACCATTTAGTATCATTGACTCTTAAATCTTTGTTCTATTAAGAGTTTTTTGGTAAAAACTATAATTCATTATGTGCATTGAATTAGTTTATACAATCTCATAATAGCTGAAGCAGATAGTTTTCTGCAAGCCTGTTGTTTATAGAAATCTTAGAACCTAATCTGGCAAGAACGGTAGTTGGGTGTGCTAAAAAAAATTAGCTCAAGCTTATTTTTATACCCTATTTGCCGTTTTTTATATACACATTCAGATATCAGTAAATACTTTGGGTTATTGTCAATAGAAATAAAGCATATTGACATATTATTACTTTACCTTTCACAGCTCATATCCTGAAGCTATCATAATAATTTAACACTCAAAAAAAAGCTTAAGATCCAAGCTTTCTTCTAACTATTAAAGCATTATGATAGATCAGGATATGAGCTGTAAAAGGTAAGATAATAATTTTTTTAAAATTAATCTTATTTTTATTGGTGGCAGCCCAATTTTATTCTGCATCCTTAGGGCATTTCAATATCTTTCTCTTAATGGACTCATCTGAGTATCTATGTGAGTAAAACAAGCATCTTCTAGATTATACATATGAATCATATGATCTACAAATAAAAATAATTACCTGCATATTACTTAAAATTCTTGTATGAATCCAAAATTAGTTTAACTATCCAACCAATTGGTTATTTTATTAGCTTTAATAAGGAAATGCGACTATATTTTAAGTTTTATATACATGTATATGAACCTATTCATACAAATACCTTCGTGTTGTTAGCAATTAATATATATACTAGCACTGTATACATATGTGAAGAAATTAGTTGATATATGAAAAGCGATAAGTTTTTAATAAAAGTAAGTATGAATCAGAAAGACCCACACTAAAATTATCAAGGTTTTTTTGTCTCATACAAACACAAAAAAAAAATAAAAATAAAAAATTCTCACCAAAAAATTTTACAATTGCAATGCAAATGTTTAAGGATAATGCCGTCTATATTCTTTTTTAAAATAAAACTAAAATAATTGTCTTATGTCTTTTATTAAATAAAAGGATAAAATTTTATAATTTAAAATTCTTTAAATTGAAATTTTATTTGCTTTGCTCTTCTAAATTGATTCTTAAAAAAAATAATAAACCTTTCAATATTTAAACATTAAACATGTCAACTTGTCAACATTCTAGCCTTACTGCTACACAAAAGCATAGTCTATATAAAACTAAAGAAAAAACCCCTAATCTTATCTATAACGAATTAGCAAAACTTTACCAAATTGGCAGGTCAACAGTATTTGATATATTAAAAGAAAAGGCATGATGGCTTGTAATTTCAGATGCTAAACAAGAAATAAAAAAATTTCGCGAACTTAAATGGCCAAAACTAGAAGAGGCACTTAGCTTGTGAGTTGATAATGCACTTGCAATATATCAAGACTAGGGATGGTAAAGTTTGGTTTGGTTTGGTTTGGTTTGATTAAACCTTGA